AATAGATGATTGATGTAGGAATCCAACTCATTACGGGTATGGGATTGAATTAATTGATGAAGTAGGTTTAACCCAAAATTTTTGTGGGTCTTTTTTTAGTTGGTTGGGAAAAAAGCAGATAGATATCTGATAGTAGTATAGAAGATAGAAAGAAGAAAGGTAGATATTAGGAAGTAAGAATAGGCTCTGGGGAAATTCTACTAGGTGATGATAATTGGGGTAAATAATGGACTGGGAATTCTAAAACGATTTTTTGATAAGGAGTAGATAATTTGATTACTGACTCATTTTCTTCTCACTGAATAATACCCCACCGGGTCAAAAGCTTAGCATCCTGATAAACCACTTGATAATCTCGTTCTAAATACTCCGCCAATTGTGATAAATTATCCGGTCTTTTTTCTACTAAAACTGAAAATAATTCTAACCTCTCCTTATTAACTCCAACTAAAAGTGCCTCAATGCTACTCGAACGCATAATATTAGGTTCCACTAATTTTAATTCTCCTCGAACCGCTTGACGAAAACTATCCGCCATGCGGTCAATACTGCTGTGAGGGTCATATTGAAATATAAAAACTTTATTCTTGGTAAGACTATTTACTACTTTCATAACTTTTTATTTATTGACTTTGGAAAATTGCCAAATTTTTTAATAACTTTTTGAATAAATAACTCTAAGGTGTTTTCTCAACTTACTCAGATAAAAAATTCTTCATACTCGTTATCGTGCCAATGAGGACCCTTCCGATCATGATTATCAACTAAAATATACTCACTTTCATTTACCTTGTTATAGGCAATCAGACTAAATTTATAATCCTCGGGAAATTCTGGCTTATTTAAGCCTGGTAATTTTTGGAGTTTCATTTCTACTACTATTACTTTACCAGAACTCATCAAAAAATCTTCTTTGATATGAAGAAGTAATTCAGGCTTAATCCTCATATAATGGTATTTTAAGGTTTTTTATTCTTATTATAGTGATATCAGATAGAAAGATTATTTTTATAAAACTAGTAAATAGTTTTATATTTAAACCAAATCCCTTAAAATCACCCCTAGCCCTTCACTAATACTCTCTACTTTTATACTATCGATTTCCCCGTTTCTTTTTCTATATCACACTTTATAATAAATTTCTATCCCTTCTTTTGCTCCCCCATGCTGTACTAGAATAATTACTACTACTTTCCTTGGCATCTCTTCAATCATTTCCTCCCCCGGTTCAGCAATTCTTACTAACTTTCTTTCTAACTTATCTTTTTCTAAAAAATCTCCGGTAACCTCTAAACAAACTACTATCTCTCCTACTCAAAACAGAAAATCCGGAAAAAAAGTTTGGGTTAAACCTACTTCATCAATTAATTCAATCCCATACCCGTAATGAGTTGGATTCCTACATCAATCATCTATT